AAGTGGGGGCTGCTCATTATCCTTGCCATAAAAAATGCTTACTAGCTTGACACCAATCAGTGGAAACTCAGCCTCTGTAATAGATAGTTGGCCTCCTAACAATATAAAAGCTCAAACAAAGTTAAACGTCTACTAGTAATAACTTGTTTACATATGGTAGTATTTGTGTTAACTTACATCATTAATCGTCGTATATGATAGTAACTCTTCCCAATCCAACAGCCGGATCCTCCTCCAGGAAATAGCCCTAGGAATATCTTTTGAATTTTTGATTGCATATGTCTGCATGCTGGTAAAAGCCTCAAATATCCAAATTTACAAACAATATAATACAAAAACATTAGTAATTGTTAAATAATTAATTATAATTTTGGAAACATTATATATAAATTCTTACCTTAATGGCCCAAATAAAGTCTGCCAAAGTGTATTTGGAACCATGGCCACGCAAACTTTTTCGGTCCTCAAAGGCAGACGACAACTTTTTCCAGGTAGTTTTCCATAGATATGAACCCCACGAAAATAGGTTCCATGCATTTAGGTCCTCTACCAATAATATTAGGTCATCAGAAATAGGTTGTCTGGACTCTTTGCCTAAAAAGCCGGCATGCAAAAGTAATAAATTACATACTCGGACAACATCGAGGTCATCCATCCGCCTAAAACCATCTTTAACAAATAATCTTTTCAGGTCGTCGACGTGTAAACTCGGCTTCGCCTTTGCCAGCTCAGGAAAAACCCGAGATAACCATGATGGGCGGGCGATATGACTAGTGTACCGACCTACATCATCGTGTTCGAAGCGTAGACCAGTGATTAAACAAAACTCCTCATGCCCAAAACAAGTATACACCGGAGAAAAATGAAACATATCTCTTCATCACCACGTTGTATCCTCTCGGGTAGATCGGTAGTCATGGTCTGAAGAAACAAATGGGTCAACATAGCATCTCCACCCGGATGTTGTACTTTCAGCCATGGCCCGAAGCAAGTATCCTCAAACAATTTTCTTTGTACAGGTGTAAGCGTCGACGCAATTGTAGTGGCTAAGCTTAATTTATTCCTTAAGTCAATGAAGCCGAAAAAAATTTCTACAAAAACAATAAACATACCAAGTTAGATATACCAAAAACTACAAATTATACACTATAAACAAACATGATATTAAACAGTGAAAACAAAGCCAAATATGTTTCAAACTTGCACGGTATTCACCCAAGTCATTATTCTATCATAGTTCACAAAATGCATCAGATAACATTCCAGAAGTAAGCACTTATATAAACATTTAAAGGACAACATATAGGTTTAGTGCAGGTTCAAGGACAACATAAAGAGTAGTAGTTTATTCTTGAAACTTAAATTCGCAACACTGTGAAGTTAGTATTTGTCTTTGTTTTTTGGTTGAAGTAATGCAATTCATTCAAGTTTCAATTTTCAGAAGAAGAATAGTTTCTGAAACTTAAAATCGCAACACGAAATGAAAATTGCAACGAGAAAATCACAACGCGAAATGAAAATCGCAACGCGAAACTAAAATCGCGTTGCGATTTTCATTTTCGTGTTGCGAATTTAAGTTTCAAATAGTCTTCTGCAAATTGAAACTTGAATGAATTGCATTACTTCAACTAAAAGACAAAACAAAGACAAATACTAACTTCACAGGGTTAGAAACTAAACAGTTTAGCAGTATTGGCAGCAACCGAATGAATTTACTAAGCAATCTAAGTGAAATGGTTAATCTATTATTGAAATTACTAGTAAATTTATCATCAATTTAAATATAAAATTCTAATAATAATACAAAAATTCAAAATAAAAATAATTAAAAAACTAACCCTCGGTGGTTGATTTTCCATTTCTTACCGTGAATGGTTGTGAGGGTGGCTCTGAGAGACGGAGATAGACGGATTTCGTTGGAGATGGGGATAGATTTTGTCGGAGATGGGGACAGATGTCGCCGTAGAGAGTGAGAGATGGAGATGGGATTGAGTTGTGATTTAGGGTTTTAGGTTATGATTTGTGATTATACTGTTTACATTTGTGTTACGAATTTGACTTATGTGTTGCGAATTACAGATTCGCGTTGCGAATTTGGAAAATCAGAACGCGAATTTGGAAACTGAGTTGCGAAATTGGAGTTCGCATTGCGAAATTACGAATTTGTTGGTCATTTTCGCAAATCCAAAAAAAGTTGGTTAAAATCGTATATTATAAGGCATTTTCGGTCACTGAAGCTTTTTTCTCTAAAAAATTTAAAAATAAATTGAACCAAATTGGGTGGCAAAACGTAACAAAAACTTAAGTTTAGTGATGATTTAAAAAAAATTGAGTAACTCAAACAAAACTACATAAATAGTGGAGTGACTAAATATGTAATTTACCCACTTGTTATTTGACGGAATTAACGGTTTGGAGCAAATGAGGTAACAATTTAAACTTTAGGGGGGAAAAACGTCCGCAACTCAATCAAAACCGTTTAGTTTAAGGAGAATGGTGCATTTAATCATTGTTATTAATTTTGAATGCAAACTGTCATTATTTTACCAAGCACAGTACCTGACAATTATTAACCCCATACCTCTTAAATCGCCATAACAGACACAATTTCAGCAAAGGTGAGCTGTTCCGAAAGAGATGAGGCTCAAGAATTCCCACATGTTGGGGAAATTATCTCTATTGAGTTTGCAGATTTTAATTGATAATTTTGAGGATGATATGTAAAAACCACAAGAAACGTGATATTAATCAGTTCAATTAATATTATAATCCTATTATATTTATTGAGTGAGTGGAAAATAATTTTTTAAACTAAGAAAATTCTTTGTAAATAGTTTTAATGTAAGATAATTTAATTTATTTAGAGAAAAAAGCCTAAGAAATCCACTCTACTTACTATACCGAAGAGTCGTCATCGAGTGTCAAATATGGACTCTGTTTCTCCCAACCGCTTCGTGTTGCCTCCAAACATCGATCTTCTTTTTCAGATTTCCAATTTGCTAGCTAAATAAGTTTTCAGGGGAAAAAAGTTCGACACAATCATCCGAAACATCTTTACTGAAATCAAAGATAAACATTGTCCCATTGATCGTCAATTCCCCTAATCGGTCTGCATTCTTATGGTACATAATGGAACGTCTAGAGTTTGTATTGTTCTACTATAGTTCTTCTGATATGTATTGTTCTGCTACAGTTCTTCTGATATTGCAAAATTATGTCATCGTTTCAAAGACCATCACCGGTCGCTGAGCAGAAGATTTATCCATGTCGAACGTGGTAATGTCTCTACTGACGATGCAATATATAGAAACAACGAATGTGTAGAAATATAGGTTATAAAAATCAATTCTAGCTTGGTCGGGCAACAAATACTGTCTCAAACACCAAGTCGAGATAAAACCGATTATTAATCACAATTGCACACACATTGCAGAAAATGCAAAAGTGCATACAAGCTTTCATGAGATGATAAAAACACGGAACCATGCGTTCCATTATTCATTTCATTAGCTTCTAGTTATCACCACAATCAAATAACAAGTACAGAGTGGCTTATCCTCGTCCCAAGGAACTTATTATGATTAATGATGTACAATTAAGGACTTGTTGCATTCACCAATTCAAATATCATCAAAATGGAATGCACAGGGGACCTTTGTTTCTGAAGACAAGGACTTGTTAGCTTGTTGCATTCACCAATTCAAACATCATCAAAGTGAAATGCACAGGGGACCTTAGTTTCTGAACATAAGGACTTGTTGGCTTGTTGCATTCACCTATTCAAACATCATCAAAGTGAAATGCACAGGGGACCTTTGTTTCTGAACATATATGCCACTAATACCTGATACCAGCCCTGACAAAAATTGATTCAAAATGCATTTAAATCAAACATCTTTCACCAGCTTCTGATCCTGTATACAATATAGCAAATAATGTTATCACACAACCAATCTCAATAGTCATACCTATAAAGCATAAACAAGAAGTTGGGCTGAAACGAAGGCAAATTACATGCAGTATATCTGGTTCGTCTAAGCAGGCTATTACTTGCAACCAATAAATCCAATATTTAGGATCAAGCAACTTGATCAGGATAGTCAAAATATTGGCAAATATAGAACCAAGTAGAGTGAAGAGTAATAGTACACCAAAACTAAATCACATCAATATGCAGCAAATAGAGAAAGAGGAACAATCAAGAACATAGTCTACGATTGTCAAGCAAAAATCATAGAAAACATGCCAAGTTGCCAAACTTGTTAAAAGATGTTGCATGCTTTAGTAGCAGCTTCCGCAACCTTCAATATGGCTACAAAAGGGAAAGGGTGAACTCCTTATTAAAGATGGATGGTCATCACGTAAAAGATAAACAGACAAGTAACGATGGATGAGGGCAAAATACAGGTATTAAAGAAGATTGGTACTTAATTAGGTCTGCTCCTGTACATGAAGGTAAATATGAAGAGAAAATATTACCAGTTCACCACTGGTCATCTGATGCTTCAAACTGCAGAAAAGATGCTACAGTTTACTTTATAACATAAAACCAAAACGACAAAAACACAACTAAATAACATAGCTTAAAACAAGAGCAATGTCACATGCACATTGAAAAACAAACATAAGGTGAAGTCACAGATTCCATTTTCTAGTTCTTTGTGTATGAATCATTCTTAACTACAATATCAAAAGCCATAGTGTAATATGTACAAGCAAACAATCAACTTTTATATAATCAACGGTGATGACAAGCTTTAATTAATACTAAAGAAATACCGCAAACCACCAACAACCAATTGGTCTAGTGGAATGAGGTACTAGATACCTTGAGAAGGATCAGATCTTGTGAATGGAGTACGCTGGAATGGGAGGATCGTCCACATAATGGCCTCTGTAGAGAAATGTCCCTTTCAGAGCTTAGGCAATAAAGTAATTCAATTTCATATAATCAGCGAACCTATTATCCCGAGTCCACGGAATAAATTCTGTTCGGAGACAACTTTTTAATTTCTTGAATCATGATTGCTACATGTACTGAGTTATAAAACAAAAAGGAACTCCAAACCCCTCCTAATAAATAAATAACTGAGAAGAATTTTTGTTGTTTAACGGTTTCCTATACTAGTTGTGAGGGTAACAATTACATTTGTTTTTTTTCTCCTCTCAAAAAAAGTATCAAAATAAATAATGTAATCCAGACAATTCCAACACTTTCAAATCATCCAGAAGCATTGATCTCCTGAATTGCAGATCTCAGAACCTCATCCCCTGCAACCTCACGTAATTTCCTTGTAAAAGCATCCTTGGCTATGATTCCAGCCTATGGTAAACAATAAGAAAAAAATAAAGTAAAAACTGTTCTTAAATTTTAAGATGCAACTTCCATTACAAGGCAACAAGCTATCTCTTTATCAAATACACAAGCGCCTTACTTACCTTATATGTGCTGTACGCAGTTAATATTTCCTGGACTTTGACAGGAGGAAGAGAATCCTTAATCTTCAAAAACAATTTGTCCAGGGAATACTTGACATCCATAGCTGGCCTCGCTTGACCTACATGAAAACATACAGAACATTAACTTCTAAAATATCTAAAGAAAGAAGAAAAAATATACCAACGAGAGTAGAAAAGCTTACCTTGCATGTTACAAGAAGGTCTGAAACTCGCAACAGACTCAGGAAGAACATGCATGTTTGCAATACTTGACCATACTACATACCACTTTGGGTTCATGGGATCATCAGAACCAGTGTCAAAATCCACACTAGATGGGAGATACTGTTCCGATCCAGCTTCCACTTTTTCAACATTTCCCAATATTACCCGACACAGAATAAGATGTTTTAAACCGTTATCATCGGCATCGACCAGTTTTGCACTGCAACAAATAATCCAGCAATAAAAAGAGATAAAAGTAACTATATAAAAATTAAATTACCAAGCAAGGAGATGAATGTTTCAAGTAACGGCACCTTAAACACCTGATAAAGGCTTGGTTGTTTGTCCAATTGCGAGGTTAACGGAATCGATATGACATAAATATACAGTACTAAATAACTTCTAGTTCTAGATTCAGCTAGAAAACTGCTCAAGCCGGTATTTCTCAAAGCACCAACTTAGATTGAGCCCTAAAATACTACTAAAATTAAATAGATTTCAATCCTGAATTCAATAGTAACCCCACAGCCTTAATCTCCGAAGGAAAACTAACATGCTAGCGATAATAAACAAAAGATCAGTATTCATTTACCTCAAGTGTGGCAACCCTAGCGGAGATAAATACACGCCAATCCCATAAACATCAGATGCGGGAATCTTACTAGGCAAACCAAATCCATGGACCATAATACTTTCCACCATCTTGGTGGAAGCACCAAACCATGCATAAACCATATTTGAAGTGCCTCTTGCAGCCTTAGTAATCTCAATCTGCTTTAGGAAAACCTCAAAACGAGCCTTGTCAAAATGCGCTTCCATCTTACACTGATGAATTGCAGCAATCCTAACCCCAGCATCAACTTTTGTTATCCCGCTCAAGAAATAATCCTTGATGATCAAATACGCTCTCTCTGTTTCTTTTAACTTCTCCGTGTTGGGCCATTTAACAGCTCCTGCCTCTTCCAAACGCTGACATTTAATCGCTCCATTTCCACAGGCGGCATCGTAAGACGAACTCACTTCCGGTTCCTCTCGCTTTTTCTTGCATGAGCTTTGATCAACCTTGACCTTAATCTCAATATTAGGATTGCAATTATCATCCCACTCACTACATTCTAATTGCATAAACTCTTCTTCGCAAAAAAAACCGCTTGGGAAAAAACACTTGCCAGTTTCGTCGATCCAAGAAATTGACCGACAATTTCCCGTCGAGTACTCAATCTGCAACATCCTCTTCAAATCAAATATGTACTTCGCACCGTCAATCGAAGCTTCGATAATCGGTTTTCGCTCCAGGAAAGCGGCTCGTAGTGTTTCTACAACACCGACCGAGAAATTATTCCACGAATCGTTACGAAAGTACATGAACCGCAACGGAATCGCGCTTCGTTCGAAATTAGCATTGTTCTGCAAGAAAACTCGTTTCCAGTCACCAGATCGTGCGCTGCAACCGCCACCGACGCGATTACTTGGACTTTTCGATGAGGAATTTGATGGCGGCGGAGGAGTAACCCTAACGCCAACGGATTTCACCAGATTCTTCGCCATCGTCTGTAGAGTTTTTTTTAAACTATAAATTACAAAATAAAAAAAATCAAAATAATTCTTCAGAAGTTTCACCCCAAAACAACTGGCGGGAGAGAATGGAATCGGAACCCGCTTTATATAAACGCGGTAAAAGCATGGAGAATCCGTGAAGAATCAGGATTAGGGTTTTAATGAAATTACAGAGAGCCTTCGAAATCATGACTGTTAAGGCGGCATTGATGGAAATGAATAAGGGCATCTTAGATAATTCAAGTTAAGGCGGTTCGGATTTATGGGGCCCGCAGAAACGTTCGTTCGAGACGAGAGGGACCGATTTAAAGAACAAACTTGCTGGCTAAGTAGCTTTTCGCTTCGTTTACTTTCGCTATTCCACGTCAAATTGTTCTTCTTCGCCATTTTTCGTCGTTTCTTATGCTCAAAATAAATTTTAAATTAAAAAAATGTTTTAATAGAAAAGGGTAAACTACTTAATAGTCACTTAATTATGTGATATGTTCTATTTAGACCACAATAAATGGAGGGGAAGGGAGGAATCAAACTTGGGACAATGAGGCTGTTAGTACACTAACTACTAGGCTTCAATGTTTAATAATATTTTTTAATTAAAAATTACTTTTTGATGAAAATTAAAGAATGACTGTCAAGCTTGAAACCAGTGAGCAGTTTAATATTCTCAAGAGTAGAAATGGAAATACTAGCAGTAAAAAGTTCACATTTTTAAGCATTGAGTTTTAGACCAGACATTTCATAAAAAAATCAAGAACACTAGTGACACCAATTACTGATTCAATAGAGCCTTTGCAGAAGATTATGAGGTCATCAGCAAAAGACAAATGAGTAAGACCAATACGTTTGCATTTTGGATGGTATCCAAAAATACCTCTAGCATAAGCCAAATTCAGGAGTTTCGAGAGAACATTCATTGAGAGAACAAATAGGAAATGAGAAAGGGGATCTCCTTGCCTAACACAACTTGCACCTTTAAAGTAACCAATCAAACTCCCATTGAAGGAGATAGAGTGTTGTTGAAAAACAGATTTCTATTCAAGTAATAAAAGTAGAGGGGAGACCTATAGCCTTCAAGATAGCATAAATAAATCCCCAGTTAAGATAGTCAAAGGCTTTGTGGAGATCAATTTTCAAAGAGCATCTAAGAGAGATGGTTTTTCTATTATAGCCTCTAACAAATTCCTGTTCCATTAGGGTATTATCAATAATATTTCTACCTTTGACAAAAGCTGTTTGATTAAGAGTAATGAGATCAGGAATAAATCTAGTAAGTATGTTGACCAGAATCTTAGAGATAGCTTTGTAAACTATAAAACAACAGGAAATAGATCTAAAGTCCTTAACCTTACTTGGATTAGGAATCTTGGAAACAAAAGTAATTGCAGTAGCATTAAATGCAGGGAGAATGAAAGACTCATGAAAGAATTATTTAATAGCAGCAGAAACATTATCATCAATGATATCCCAAGACTTTTTGAAGAAGAGAGGAGTGAACCCATCAGGACTTCACCATTAAATCAAGACTTCACCATTGGTCTAATAGGGCTCTGTGCTATGCAGACAGATTGGAGTTAGTTCGAGCTGTGTTATTTAGCATTGTAAATTATTGGTACATACAACTTTTCTTGCCCTATTATGTTATAAAAAAGATTGAACAACTTTGTTCAAGATTCTTCTGGAAAGGGGTTAACATACTAGCAAATAGAGCTAGAGTAAGCTGGCAGAAAATCTGCCTTTCTAAATCTGAAGGAGGGCTTGATCTTAAGGACATGAGGACCTGGAACAAAGCATGTATGATGCTTTTCATAAAAAACATTCTTACAGGTGAATGATCTTTATGGGTGGCTTGGTTTAGAAGTTATGTGTTCAATGTTAATGATTTCTGGAATGTTGCAGCTAATCCCAATATGAGCTGGAGTTTAAGATAAATTCTAAAGTTGAGAACTAAGGCCCTCTCTATTTTGTCATCTGGAACTAAGAAAGTGAGTGGAATTTGGAACGAGATTAGGGTAAAGAATTCTAAAGTACCTTGGTATAAACTACTTTGGTTTCCTCTTCATATCCCTAAGCATATTCTAATTGTCTGGATGGCTTTCCTTGACAGACTTCCTACTAAAAAAAGGCTTCATCGTATGGGGCTTATCATTGATTGCCATTGCGTTTATTATGGTACTGTTATGGAAACAAGGAATCACCTGTTCTTTGAATGTCTTGCAATAGCTTCTTTATGGACAACTCTTTTCTCCCTTAATGGCTTGCGGTTTAGGCATTTGTCATGGGAAGCTCTCTTTCATTGGGTTTGTGTTTATTGGAAAGGAAAATCCTTGCTTACTTCTATTATGAAGATTGCTTCGAATACTTTAATCTACATCCTATGGGATGAAAGAAACAATAGACTTTTCCAAGGTCGATCTAGAAATATTGAAGAAATGTTCCATGCCATCAAGAAAATTGTTGGGTTGCACTTAAGGGGTAGAAATATAAATATAATAGATAGTGTTAATATTACTCTTTGTAATCATTGGGGTATAGTTTGAGTTTTGTTTGATTGTCGATTATTTTTTGAGTTAGGGCGATTGTTGTAATCATAATTCTAATTGTTTTGTGCAGTTTTCTGCTCTTTGGGTAATAAAAATGAATTATCCAAAAAAAATTAAAGAAAGTAAAAATAGGGTTCAAGAGATTAAATCTAAATTTAAGGGTATGAATTATGACTAAGAAAATTTTGATATTTTATTAAAAATTTTAACATATTATTTATAAATTATATAGTAGTTAATAAAAATATTAATATAATATATAAATGTTATATTATAATTATTATAATATATAATAAAATGTATATAATTAATAATATTTATTGTTATCATAAAAATGATATTTGATATATAAAATATATTAATTAATATTCTTAATTTTAAAAAGAATAATACTTAAAATTATATCAATATTTTTAAGAATATACAATAAACTATTAAAATAATAAATAAGAATATGAATATAATTTTTATACAAACATCGATACTTATTCTCATTAAAACTAGAATATTAATATACATTCTTATAAATATAGTAATTACTCTTATTAAAATGAAATATTAATAAAAATTAAATTTTAAATAATATTTTGTGAATGATAATAATCAATTATCTTAATTGTTTATTATATATTATACATTATTATATTAATAATTTATTAATTACATTTTAAGTTATATATAATATGTTGTCAAAATTAATTGAATATTGGACTTTGTTAAATGATAATATACTTTTTATATACCTATATTTGAGTTCAAATCATTTTGACTTTCATTTTTTAAAAATATATTAATAAGATAATCTTTAATCGAAAGTACTGTTAAATTTTGACCAATTAAAGGATGTGCCCTTCTGTCATTGGATATAATCTCTCTTTAGTTATAAATATTTTATTGAAGAAGATGGTGACATGCGTTTATATAATAGAACTAATTTTTTATTAAATTAAATAAACTAATATTAAGAGTGAATTTTTACAATCAAATCATAGTACATGTCATTATGAAAATAGAACATTTTTCCAATCAAATCATAGTATGTGTCATAATTGTTCATCTAGTTTAGTTGGTAGAACGTAAGATTCTTAATTTTATAGTTGTAGGATCGAGTCCCACAGTTGACAATTTATAATTTTGACTACCGGAGGTCTTCCACGGAAACTGCTCTCAACCTGTTGGGGGCAACCTACTACTACCTTACCTCCTCTCACCCCATTACATATGAAAATAGGATCAGCTAATGAATTTAATTTATAAATAAATGGATAGTAATAATGATTAAATGTTTTTACAAATTTATTTAATTGTTGTCATTACTTTCTAACAGTTACCGACAAGTAATTTAATTCATATCATTTAAATAGCTAGGATAAATTATATCACTAACCATTTAACTATTTACCATTTTTATTTTAATTACCGATCTTTTAATTTTTTTCAATCGAATTACTTAGCGATTTAATTGTATCTAATCAAGTCATTTGTCTTTAATCTTTAATAGAAATGTTAAAACAATTATTATTATTAAAACAACCAATTGATTAAATCTAGAATTAATAATCTGATCGATTTATACTAATTCAATTTAATTATTATTATTATTATTATTATTATTATTTTAAAACAATTAGTTAGAATTTAACAATAAATTAAATTTGGGAAATACATTGATAAAATTAAAGTCAATGTTGTAGTCTTACATTTATTTTGTTTAGAATTCTATACTACATCCATATTCTGGTTATATTAAAAATGTTGTCAGCAGTGACTTAAATAATTTGACAATTTTGAAGGTTTTTTTTTGGTCTGTTTTCTTCAGTTGAATATAGATTCACTTCAAAAAAAAAAAAAAGAATAAAGATTGGCTTGACTTCTAGGTTTAAATAAATTTCAACCGATACATATTAAATATTAATATTTAAATTTATTTTCTAAATTTAAAGTTAACTTAATATAAAACTTAATAATATTGATGTTGAATGAAAGGATAAAACGTAGTTAGTTAATAAACAAATCATTATCATTTTATTAAAATGTTATTGAAAGAATTTTCATTTTTCTAAAAAAACATAAAAATTCGTTAGTTAAAAGTTTTAAAAGATAAATTTTACAGAAATATGTAAAATTATATGAATATCATATTTTAATTTTCATTTTATCAGAATAAGGCAGCATGAGAAAATTATTTCTCACAGTAACGTAGTTACAATATTATTTCCCCATCTAAAGTATTTTCTACAGTACACATCTAAAGACATCAAGATATCTCGGCGTCTTCAGGCTAAAATTTTGACCATGGATTATTCTGCGACTTTACTTAAAATAGGTAGAGAAAGACCTTTGATTTGTACGCGTCTTCAGCACACCAATGTCCGGTTAGCCTCTTGGGGTGTTTTGAACTCTGCAAGTTGTGGTGCTTGTGGCCATAACTCAGAGAGCTTGGTTCATATTCTCAGAGATTGCGTTATCGCCCAGAACGAGTGGAATCGTTGCAAATTGGGAG